TGCGGGCCCCGGGGCGGCCTGCCTCACGGGACGGTGGAAACGGGCTGAACTGAAACAAGCGGGGCTGGGAGTCCGTGTGAGGGTGATGAAACACCGGAGCAGGTTGCTCGGAGAGCCCGTTGTTGGTGCTCCATCCCTGGAAATGCTCTGGGTCAGGTTGGACGGGGCTCTGAGCAATTTGATCGGGTTGAAAACGTCACTGCTCCTTGCAGGGAGTTGGACTGGGTGGCCTGGTAATGTCCCTTCCACTGTGAGAGTCTGTGAGTGTGCAGACAGTCTCTTATCTCCTCTGGACATGTCCTGGAGATAAGCGAGTCCCTGCGGAGGTGTGAGGAGCCCCGTGCCCTCTCTCCTGCCCCACACCTGCCCCTTTCCTACCTGCCAAAGCTTGATGGGGGCATTTCCAGCATGCTGGATGTGTGTCCCACACACATTGTTACAGACATCACTAGTTCTTCATACAAACATACATAATAATTTATGTATATGTACATACACACAAACACACTCTGGTTCTGCAGTACTTGGTATGGATCAGGATCTATGCTCAGCTCCTGCAGAGGAAGCTCACAGTGGGGCCAGATGCAGCAGCAGTCAGTTTTGCTGCTCAGTCAGTGGGTTTCCAAATGCAGTTTTTCCTTTTTTCAGATTTCCTGGGAAGGTGCAGCCTGGGATATCAGAATGCAGTCCTGTGACAACACATCTGTGCACCCTTTTGTGAGGGCACATGGGACAGCACACCCTTCCTGTTCCCCACAGCAGGCCTCACTGTCCTGCAGGGAAAATGAAGTATTATTCTCATTTTATGGGGAAACAGAGGCACAGAGGCTCAAACAATAGGTCTGTGGCAGAACCAAGATGCAATCTCATCTCTTTTCAAATCCAGCTCAATTTAAACTCGCAAAAATATCCTCCATCTGCATTTCTTCAGAATTGCCACTAACACATCCCACAGCCTGGCAAACATAAACCAGTCCCTTCGAAGGGGGACATTCAGCCTCAACAAGTCTTGGCCAGGCAGCAGCACAGGGATGACCCTACAGGTGCTCCTTCATCCTGCTGGGGACCATCGAAGGAACTGGGGGTGCTCAGGGCTCTGCTCTCATGCACAGACCTCATTCTTCCTCTCCACATTGTCTCAATGAATAATGCATAAATACGTACTCATCAAAATCCCAGATACTATATTTGTACAAATACATCAGGGCCAAACTCTGCATTAGTGTAACTTCACTGACGTAAAAAGGATTACGTTGGTAAAAATGTGGGCCTTAAATATTTTTACCCAAAATAGATGTTTGGCAAACCTCGCTTTTCTGCTTTTCTCAATTAAACCCCCTTTGTTTCCTGAGTAGGTGAAGTTTACTGTGATTTAGCAATGCAATGGACATTAAATTTAGATACAGCTAAAATCTAAGCCAACAAGGCTGGGCTTTAATGGAATTTGAACATGTACAAAATTCCCTTGTAATGTTTATCCCATGAAAACGACCAAAAGTTGCAATCCTAATTTTATCATTACTATAACCTACCTAGGCACTGGGACATGTTAGAGGTTTCTCTAACTTGCGTTTTTCCACTTGCAAAAGGCAATGTCTTCATATTTTAGTCACCGTAGTTCTGAACTTTCTTTAAATTGCTAGAGATGCAGTGAAGTCCCATATTTACCTTAAGTGGAAATAAAACGGTATTTTCCCAGTTCTGCTTTTCAAGTTTCATCTGTTTTACTGGGCCCACAACCTTCTCACTTCCCTAAAAGCACCACTGGAGGCTGGGTCCTTTGCCCACTGTGCAGCTTCAGGGCTGTGCTGTTGGCTGTTTCTGAGGCTGGAGATAGGAAGGTGAGAATTTTCAGTGGGCTCAAGCAGATCCAGACGTGCTGCTGTGGGAGGGGATGCACTACCTCCAAGCCCCCTGTGTGGCTGCATGTCATGATGGAGGAGGGATCTGATACTTTTTCACATCTGAAGAATCCTACTGAGCATCTCAGCCTTCCAGTACTGCTGGGAGGTGAAATGCAATGGAAAATATCAGGAAAGTGTAACTAAGGCATTTGTGTTTCTCACTGAGATTTCCCTGTGAGGGAAAAAAACAAAAAAAAAAGTATTAAAAATGCAGGCAGGCAGTGCACAGCAGCTGGGAGGAGAGTGCAGAGCACACAGAATGAACCCTGACCCAAGCTCACTCACACAGTGTGACAAGTTCTGGATGCACCAAACCTTTTGCATGTGTTAGATCCTGTTTGCTGTGCACACAGAATCCAGGGGAAACTTACTTGTGTGTACATCAGAGACTGCCTTCAGCATCCTTGGGTGTCCTGTAGAAATTGCTGTCCTGACCAGGCTGTTGGACATCAGTACACCCTAGACAAATATCCAAAGTTTTCTTTTCTGCTCAGGCAGAATTTCTAGACAGACACAAGGACATGTTAAAACCAAACAAACAGGATATACAACAGCACATATTCTGATGCCTCACTACAGCACAAATCTGTCACCTTACAGCAGAGAATAATGGGAAAATGCACAAAAGTCACTGCCTCCTAGAATGCCACTCTGGGGTTGTCCTTGCTGAAACATCACTACAGCTTCATCCATTACAGCATCTTCCCTGAGCAAACATTTTAACAGAGAAACTTCCTTTCTCAGCTAGATCATATTTTCTTAACCATGAATCTGCTGAGAGTGCCTCAAACTGCAGACCTGGTTTTGAGGTCTGCAGGAACACTTTGGGGCATAAATCCAAAATTGGATATTACAATCTCCAGTGGCAGGTGGCAGCCTCTGAGCTGACTCAGCCCCTTTCCCATCTTTCTGTGATCTCTGCATGCACTTGTCAAGCTGTGAACTGGTTAATTCTTCTGAGCCCCACGACAGTGAAAGCCAGCTGACACACATCTAAGTTTTGCTCAAGGCTTTGGAAACACTACAAGCCTTTATTAACAGCAGGAGAAATGCACAGATCTAGACAAATATAATTACTTCTGATCCCTTTTTTCTGCCAACATTTCATGAGAACCAGCAATGGCTGGGACAAGATTTTGGGAATGAATTTTTGTGCATCTGTGACTGATGTCTCACATCAGCGTCCTTCATTTGGTATTACAGCACAACTGAGTCCTCATTCCATACTGTAAAATACATCTGAATTTTCCCAACCCATCCATTTTGTGCATCAGGAAGAGATTTCCTTCCCTTTTTTCACCCCTTCAATAAATCCTTTGAAAATCTGTTGTTACTTCTGTGCCTTGATATTACTTGGGTATTTTCCATTCTCTCTTTTGCCACCTTTCAGGAGAGAACTTCAATCAAACTGGTTGCCCTGCTCAGACAGCCTTTCTGGCACTGGCACAGCCCAAACACTGGTGATAACACAGAGTTAAGGTCCTTTTAAGTGGCTTTTGTCTGGTGGCTGTGTGCTAAAGATCTAGCCAGGAAAGGCAGATAAACCTCAGCATTCAAGCTTTAAAAAATTTTCCTGTAGATAAAAATTGCCCTGCTTTATAAAGTTGAAAAGGAGCCATAGGCTGAGCTATTCATGAGTTGCTTGGTGCCACATAGCACAGAGACATTAAAGGTGGGAAAGGCAGCAAAGTTCCTCCCCACTCAGCAGTTTACACCTAAGAATTGCCTGGCTCTGCTCATACTTTGCTTTTCCTCCTGCTCTAGAGGCTGACTTTTCCTGCCTCGGATTTTCTCCTTTTTTTTAGGTTGCTTGCACAGTTCTGTGTTACAAATTACTCCTCATTTTTAAGGGGACTTGAAAGCAAAGTGAACTTCATGGATGGACAAAAAGAGGGATTGTGTTGCATTAGGTGAGTGCTTTGCTGTCTTTAGAGGTCACCTGTGGTATTTCTGCCTCAGCCCTTGCTATTTCCCATTTACTGCAGCAGCAAACTATTAGTAATCTGATGAGCCAACCAGCCACCTGGCAAAACAAGGGTTAGTCAGCCTGAATTGATTATTCACACATTTCCATCTGATTTACAAATCAAGGTTGAAAGAAGCAAAAATAATCAAGCAGAGTAAAAAAAATAAATAAATAAAAAGGAAGTTCAAATTCTATTTGTTGGTTTTGTGTGTTGTTTGAGGGTTTTTTTAAGTTAGTCTCCTGCAGATGGATCCCTTCCATGTGCCACAAAGCCCATGGTCACATTCAGCTGAGCTCTTCTGGGCTTTGGCTTTCAGCACCAGAACAGTTACAGAGGGAACAAAAAAGCCTGTCAGACTCTCCAGTAATGTTATGATCACATTAACTTAGCAGTCCTTGACACTCACAGATAAGGACTGTAAGTTCTCTCAGTACTACAGAAATATTGACACAAAGAATATGTTTATCCCTGGCTGTGTCTCTGTAGGACAAGGTGGAAACAGCAACAGCAATCTCAGGACTTAATTTCTTTGGCCTTGCCAGGGCATCTGTGCTCCAGGGACAACAGTTTATTGATTTTGGGGTTTTTTTCCTATCCTCCACTGGTTTGGAAATTATGTTGTCTTTTCAAGTCAGCATCACAGGTCCAGGAGGAGATAAGTTGGAAGAAATTCATTTTAGGATTATTTATGCTATTAGGCTTTTGACTGTTAAAGACAGTGGGGGGACCTGGGGAGAGTTTCTGATTTTCTCCCAAACTTTCTGTTCATTAAGAGAGAAAATGTTATCTGGCCTTCTGGCTGCATTTCTCTAAGCCATCTTTAGCCAGGTCCAGCTCCAACCTCAGCTTTCCATGTGCAACCCCTGCACTTTAATCTGGCAAAAGCACCCACGGAGCAGAGCTGTTCCTGCTGGAATCATGGACATCGAGGGAATCAGCCTCCCTCTGCAGGGACAGGGTGTGCTGAGTGTGTGACACACAAGTCTCCCATCACTGCAGGGACAGGGGTGTGCATCAGGTGTCCCATCACTGCAGGGACAGGGCTGTGCAGTGTGTGACACACAAGGTGTCCCATCAGTGCCTCCCCTGCCTTGGGGGCAAGCTGAAGCACCAGAGCTGGGGCTCGGCTCTTTCCACCCTGGTCCTGAAGCTGCCCAGCAGGCAATGCCTTCAGTGGAACGCACAGGGCTCATGGCAAGGGGTTCCAGTGCAAGGGGCACAGCCCAGCCCAAGCTGCCCCTCCCGAAGATGACTCAGGGACAGGCAGGTCTGTCAATGTGACAAAACCCACTGACTCACCTGGACGAGATTCAGAACCCACTTCTGCTCATCCAAGTTTGAGAAAGCAAAATATACAAGAAGACGTAAAGGAAGATGTGGGATTGGATGGAGGTTGGCTCCAGCTCAGGAGTGGATCTGCGATAAACTGTGTTCCCCTGCCCTCTCCTGGAAGGAATACGCCAGGGCTGGGTGCGTTCCTGCAGGATCCTTGTGTGAGCCCTGCGGGCTCAGGGAGGGGCTGAGAGGAGATGCTGGTTCTGCAGACAGTGTTTACACAATGAGCAGCTATGACCACCCTGTGTCCCCCGTGCATTGCCGACACCGTGTCTGCCAGACACTGGCACACCTCTCGAGAGTTTCAATGTCTTCAAGGAAGAGCTGCCTGCCTGTCTGGCTATTTGCATTCAATTGGGAAACAGAGAGGGTGACCCAACTGAGGGAATTCAGAGCCTCTCGCTCACCTTCAACAGCAAACACAAAGCCTACATGCAAACACAATGACCTTGGCTCAGGTCACAGCTGGAGCACCACCGGGTCAGAAATGCAGCACCAAGGCATCAACAGACAGAGCTCCTGGGGGTACCAGGGCAGAACAGGCAGCTGGGACCCCATCACTGGGCCACTGAAAGAGTGAGAGCCAGCTCAGAGGTCAACTCAATCTCCTTGGAGAGATTGAGCAGAGAAAGCACGAAAGTCCTCAAACTTAGAAAGATCCAGGTCTGGTGCCTGGTCCTGAGCCTTCAGCTGTGATGTTGCTGTTACTGCTCCACACACAGCTCAGTAAATATGACCCATTTACATAGATTCACACCCAGATATATGAGGAGATTTTGCAAAGCTTCCTGCTCCTCCAGGGACACTGGAATTACATTCTTCTTTTTTCTACACATCAAACAGCCAAAGCAATACTAGTCCTGTCCTACAAAGGACTGATTAGCAAATCACTGCTGTTGAGATAATAATGGGAGCAATGAACCACAAAAGCCAAATGCACAAACTCTATAAATAAGTCTCTGGTTCAGTGGTTACAGCACAGGACTGGGGATCAGGAGCTCTGGAATGGCAGAACCAACCACATGTGCACTAGATAACCTCAGAAGTGTCTCACATGCTTCAAGCTTTCTTTCTAGTTGTGTTCCACCAAATCTTTCTAAACCCAGAAAAGAGTTGTGCAAAGAGCTATCCTCTGGCATGTCAGGTGGGTAAATCACCTCCTTCCGACTGGGGTGCTCTCAACCCAGCATTGTAGGCAGGCTGTGAGCAAAGGTTGGTGGGGACATGATCTTTTAAACCTTGACTAACTCCGTCTTCATCCCCACCTAAAATCTTGACCAGTTCCACAACTGTTTTTTCCTTTCTCCACCTGAACATAATTCTTGTTTGCTGGCTTTGCAGTACTTTCAACATCTCTTTACCCTCCCTTTCACCCTCTTATCAAAGAGAGGAACTTCAATAAAGTAGTTCCAGCTGTTAAACAGCGAGTTTTGTATTTCCTGCTTCTATACAGGGTTAAAAACAATGTTTCTGTTCATCACAGAAATAAATGTTAAATGGAAGTTGAGTTATATCTCTCCTGTGACTAATGTTCTAGCTTGTTTTCCAAAGTTAATTCTTCATACGCTTTTTCCCCCTCTTGTTCCTTTTTACATTTGTCCAGACTCCTGTGTTCCCATGGGACTAATTACCCACTCAGCAGTTACTCTGAAGTCCAATTGTAATAGCTGGCAAAACTCTGCTCCTCTATGCAAGGTTTTAAAATATTTCCTCAATTTATTTCAAATAGCACCACGCTCTGCAGCTTCTTCCCAATTTGTGTTGCCCTGGACTGAGATTTATTTTGCTCCTGTTGAGAGCTGCCTGCTTTGTTTGTCCCAGGGCAGATATTCTCAGCAGAATAATTAATAATAAAAAACAGACAAAAAACCCCAAACAACTGGATCACTCATATCAAAAAATATCCATTGTGAGGCAATCTTCTATTTTCTCATCTAATGGGTCCTTAGTAGCAATGCAAGCAATGAAAAACCACTGATTCAGACCTGGTTATTCTTTCTTAAAATACAGGTGTGATCATAGTGTTTTCATTCTCATCCACATTATATTGTCTGAAAGTTTGGAGGAAGATTAATTACATATCCTGCAATCTAAAAATGCCCATTGTCTTATTCTGTAGGTGCAAAATATTTTGTAAGCAAAATATTTACCCCTGGTGGTGTAACAATCAACAATGGAGGGCTAAATTCAGATTAGTGGCACCTATTTTTTTCTGCACAAACACTGCTTGGGAGGAAAATATGTCCCTTCCCAATTCTGCAACTATTTAAATGTCTATATGGCCAGGAGTGACTCACCTCATCTCCTTGCTCTGAGGTTTCACCTCCTGTTCCTTAAGGATAATAATCTTGGCAAAGTACAATACAGAACAAACCCATGTTCATAAAATGGATTTCAAGTGCCTGGTGAGGAAAATATAGAAAAAAGATTATGAGAAAGTCCTTTTTTTCAGGATTGTGCTAGTGGCAGAGGGAACATGGCAGCTTTTATGAGAATAGCCTGTAATCACTGAATTGGAGAGAACATCACATCTTATTGAGTGGTTTAATTCTTCCACAACCTCTACTTAATGACATGCTAGTTCTTCTTTTCCCTAGGGAAAAGAGATATCTAAACTGCAAATCACCTAGTTTTTGTCCATGTGGAATCTGTCTGCTGCAGAGGCTGGCACAGCAAGTGCCCTCAGGTCTAAAGCCAATTTACCCCAAGGATCAAGCCACATGTAGATGGTTTTGCACAAACTTCCACGTGGCAGTGACCACCCTGTGAATTACTGCAGGCAGTCAGGTTTCCCTGGATACCATTAGGGCTTCTGGCCATCAGCAAGCAGCATCTCTCTTACTACAGCGAGGCATTGATCCTGCAAACCTGTCGAAGTCAGCAGAAGTTCACTGTGGTAGGTCTCTTTGGAATTCCTGTCTAAATATCACAGCCCCTAAGGTAAATACTGGCTGATTTCTGCCCTGCAAAGTGTGCAGCATTGCCACACCAGCCCTTCTCCTCTCTGACTTGCTAACAGAGCCACTCAAGGAAAATGCTTTTGCTTTTACACCTAGGAATAATCTAGTTATCTCTATCAGAGAAGACAGAAAGGGTGCTGTTTTTGGAATGTCAAGTTCTTCACTTTTACCATGCAAAGTCTCTTATAATCACAACAATTTGCTGATGGGACCCACATCAAACCAACATAGCAGCACCAGTTCTAACCAGAGGTGTTTCATTGATGGGCTCAGCAGAGGATAATGAAATCAATTGCAAACTCTGGATCTTTCTAGCAAAATTTATTTGGTAATTAAATATCTAATTTCAAGACTTGTCTCAGTCATATTTCCAGCTCAAAATTACAGATTTTTAAAGATAACTCACCTCTGCATTTATATGTTAAAAACCAATGTCCCCCATTTTTGTAAGTCTAGCAAATTTTTAATAGCTTTCTACATCTTATAATTATGTCATTTCACGAGACAATAAAAATGTTCTTGCCAATGTTACACACTCTTTTCTCACTTTCCCAGGTCATGTCCTACATGAGGCCACATCCTGGGAGCAGCTGCCCCCAGCAGCCCTGAGCTGGCTGAAGGAGAGGATGCTGCACCCAGCCACAGGCACTCTGGAACTCCTCCTGCTGCATTGGCAACTTGGAAAACCTCAGGATTTCCAAAACCCCAAGTTGGGAGCTGTTCTTAATCTGTCATCAGCATTTAAGAAGATTCTAAGAACTGTCTGGGCATTTATATAAAAATTGAAAACATCAAACACTCCTTCCTCAAACACCCCTGACCTTTGTGCAGAGCTGTCAAAGGGGACCATGGCTGGGGCCAGCACAGAGCTGATGGGATCAGGAACAGCATTTCCTGGAGCTCAGGCTGGATGCAGCCTGTTCCAGGCTGGGTCTGGCAGATGTGGGATGCCAGCAGTGCCTCAGCAGCAGGCAGGGCTGGCAGGGCTGGCACTGGGGCCAGCAGGTCACTGTGAATCAGTCCTGTCACAGCCCCCAGGGAGGGCAGAGCCTGGGGAAATCCTGCCCCAGGGATGTGCCAGTTCCCTCCTTCCCTGCAGCGCTGGGAAACCTTCCCTGTGGCACAGGGTCAGGTGCAGCACTCTGTGTCACCCCATGTCACCACGGCTTTTCTGGTACCTGCTGCTGCCTTCAGCAGCCCTCCACACAGGCATCCAAAATAGCTGCACACAGATAACTCCTGTCCTCCTCATCAGTGCCACAGAGACGGGTGCCAAGTCACATCCAGGGATTTACTGATCCCCTCTGCTGTGCTGGCTGCTGCAGCTCCGTGACAAGTGGCATTTGTTTGTGCCAGCCTGTGTCCCAAGCACAGCAAGGGCTGTGAGTTTGCTGCACTTTTATCTGCTCACAGGATGCTCCTTTTAAAATCAAGTCCTGTTTGCTTTCAGTCAGAGGTTCCTAGAGCAGGAATTTGCAAGGAAGATCTGGGTGTGTGAGCAGATCCCCAAGGGGCAGGGGCCACCCATGCTGGCACTTGGTGACAGCTGAATGCCACTGCAGTGGCCAGCCCCTGCCAGCCCTGGGAAGAGGGACAGGATTGCAGCCTTTGACGTCATTCCAGAGGGATCCAGCTCAGACATCTGTCCCAGAAGGAGATTGCACATGGCCCCCGAGCACGGGCACGTTGTGCAATGCCAGCACAGGCTTTGCTGAGGGATCAGGCACATCCCTGCCTCCAGCAGCTCAGCACCACCTGCATCAGCCTGAAGCAGGGAGGAATGGCAGGAGTTTGGCAAAGAAATTGGTGCAAGCCTGCTCAAAAAGCTGTTTAATAATTTGCCTCTTATTTAAGAGGGGATATCACCATGGAACAGCAAAATGATGAACAAAAGATCTGTTTGCCTCACAGATAGGGCGGTTTGCATGGGGCAGAGGAGAGGGTTTCAATAATCCTTGTTTGTTTTTTTTCTTTTGGGGGCACTGCCTAATACAAATGGGTTTGGTAAAGATAAATAAAGGCCACAAATATCCCATTGGTTGGCAGGAGTGTGTGGAGATGTTTAGGCCTTGTCCAGGAAAGAGAATCAAAAGAAATTGATGGGAAGCCAGAAGATGGTGATGGTTTTGGAGTTGGTGAGAGGAAAAAAAATCAGAGCACACAGAAGAGCTCCAATACAGCCAAAGGAACACAGAAAGCCCCAGGACGCTACAAGGATGTTTCAGTGCTAGACCCAGGTATGGGATGTCACCTCCAAGGAGGAAACTAAGACCCAACATTTCTGTCCAGGCAACAGAGGAACCACTGGGCTCAAAGCTGGGCCAAAGAATGAAGAGGGTTGGAGGCTTTTCAGAGAAGGAATGAGAGATCTGCTTTTGCCATAAGAGGCTGAGCAGAGCTGCTGGGACATCACTGGAGCAGGCACAGGCACCCCGGGTGAGCTCAGCTATGCCATGGCTTTGCTGCACACCAGCAACAGGAAGGTGGCCCAGTCATCAGAGCCCAATGGGTGAGAAGAATCCTCATAAAAACACAAGCCAGCAGAAAAATGTCAGTCACCCAAACAAGAGGTGCAAAAGGAATAGAAATGCTGAAAAAAAAATCACCTTGAGCAGAGGCCCCTGGGCCACACTGGAAGGCAGCCCCTGCATGGGACAGGGCCAGCCCAAGGACTTGGCATTTCTCAACCCTCTTCTGAAGCCCACTGAGACTCAGGCAGGAGACAAGAAATTTTGTCAGCTCAATAACTGCTGCCTCCTCCTCCCTCACACCCAATTTCCAGAGGAAAATGTGCCAGGAGCCTTCTTTGGCTGCCTCCAAGCCTGCAGACCTGCTGAGGAGCCACGTGGGCTGCTTCAAGGGGCTGTGTTGAGCAGCCATACCTTAATGGATTTGCCACCTGAAAAGAGATCAAGCTTTCAAGATCAAGAGGTCAAGAGACCCAGGATGAGCAGAGCATGAAATCCCAGGTCTAGCGCAGTGTATGGAGAGTGGAAGGTAAATCAGGCAAACTGCTGGAGGTTTCACTGGGCTTGGCCCAAAGCAATGCTCTGTATTCAAACATGGAAACTCAAAACAACCTAAAAGACCTTCAGTTAGGAACTTCTACTGTAACAAAACATAGATGAATTGTAGTGATAGAACTCTTTGATTCCCCATTTAGTGTCAAAAGCAGAAAATTACTGACAAGATGCTGTAAGAAGTGTCAATAAAATAGAGTCTTTTAACTAATCCCTTAAGTATGGTTTAGAAAGCACTGAAAAGTTAGGATAACTGAAGTCTAAGCACTCTTTTTTTACAAGACACTTTCCCACAGCTGAATGAGCCGCCCCTGAATGAGCTCCATTAGATTTTATCACAGAAGTTTAAAAGTGGGAACTGGCAAACGGGCCTGGATCTGCAGGACAGGAATCAGATGCTTTCCCTCCAGGGGACAGCCTAGGGAAATTTGGATCAGTGAATGTAACACAAACGTGGCAGACCACTGGGGAGGGTCAGCCTGCTTTCCATACCTGGATGGTGTTGTGCTGCTGCATCAGAAAGGTTCACAGTCAGACAGAGGCTGCCAACCTCAGCAGGAACCAAAGCTGTTCCAAACCCAGGCAATTTACCTTGGCCATGCTGCTGCTGAGAGGGGCAAAGCCAGGAGCAGGCAGGGAGCAGAGTCCCTGCTGAGTCAGCCAGGGCCCCAGGGCTGCTGCTCTGGTGCTGAGCTGAACACATCTGCCAGGCTTGCTCAACCCTGGGGAGATGGGGTGAGGAGGGAAACGATTGCAGTGGGTGCTAAATGCACCAGAACCTTGCAGCAGCAGCAGTGGCTCTTGTCTGTGCCTGACTCAGCTTCCCAGGATTGCAAAATCCCTGCCCATATCAAATGCAGGTGGTAGGATTTCTAATTTAGAAGCTGCTTTGGAACAAGAACAGAGAAGACATTCAAGGCTGATGGTTTAACCTGGCACAAGCGTGCATTCAGCCAGGTGAGATCGTTGCCATGCCCCAAAGAAATTCCCATTGCAGGCTCTGAGAGCCATTGCCCCATTTTCCACGGGGGAAATCTGGCCTCAGGACACACCTGACATGGCTGGGGCATGAAGGCAAAGTGAGCAGCCACAAAGAACAACGCAAGGAGCAGTCCCAAGGCTGCCTCTGTCCCGATGCAGCAATGCTGATGCTCTGTCCAGGCAGCTGAGCTGCAATCAGGGCTCAAGGGAAGGGCTGCCCCGGGGCAGGGCCTCCCTGCAGGGCTGGGATGGGATGGGATGGGCTGTGCAGGAGGCATGCAGCTTTGTGTCCTGCTGCAAAAAAGAGAGTCTGGCTGGGAGAGTCTAAACCTGAACCTGCCCAAGGGGGACAACAGAGCACAGCAGAGACTTGGCAGGCAGTGACACTGGGCTGGGGGCTGAGGGGGAGATGCTGACAGAACATGGGAGGCAAACAATGGGAAACAAGTTCCCATTTCACCTCCTAACCTCTAAATGTCTAAAAATCTACCATCAGTCAGGGTGTGAGCCACTCACCTGTGGCTGTCAGTGGTCAACAAGGCACATCCAGAGGGCAGACAGGCACTGAGAGCTCAGCAGGAGAGCTGAGTCAGAAGGAGCTGTTTTACCTGATCCACTGGCCCCAGGAGATGCCTGCCTGCTGCTGAACTAGGGGGAAAGGACATTTTTCTATTGACCTAAGAGACCCATGGGACACAGGTGTCATTTGGTAGTGAGAGCATTCCCACCTAGGAAGAGAAAGCAGCCAAAAAACAGCAAAATTACATTAAGACCAATATTGGAAGCATTGCTGAGAGAGACAGCCTAGAGGCAGGAGAGTGGTTTTGGGGCAGAGTTCTGGCTATCCAAAAAGAGAACAGGGACTCTGAGTATTTCAATGATGAACTCAGCATCACAGGGAAAAGACCTTTACCCTGCCTTGGGACAGGGAGTCATCTCTGAGAAATACCCACCTCCTTCCCCAGCAGCAGCTAATTCCTCCTACGAGCAGTGATGGAGTAAGTGATCTGCAGGTTGTTTTCAGGTGAGAGGCCTTTGAGTTAACAGCAAGTACAGGCCTGCTGTGTTAAATGAACTTTATTCCATTTGCAAAACATTGTGAGCTCCTCACACAGCCTCTGAGCTGGCTGCTGGCTGCATCTGCCAGGTCAAACTCTGTTGGAAGGATCTGACTCATTTATTTCATCAGACCTACAAGAATATGATTCAGGAATAATCTGTACTGTCTCAATCAGCCCTGTAATCCTCCATAGTTCTGCCTCAATTCATCACTCCCTGGCAATGTCTTTGGGAGCTGAATTTGAGGCTCATTCAGTGCCAGTAAGGTGTGAGAAATTGGTGTATTGCACTAAATAGTTATTTAGTTGCTTGCACTGGGTGTTTGGATTCTTGCAGGAGATGACAATACTTATCACCCAAGGAGGTCAGCAAAAGAAAAGGGGTTAAGGGATACTCTCCTCATCATCCACTGGAAACCAGAACAGATTGTGTTTAGATGGGAACACTGGTGCTCAGGACAGCACACAGGAGACATCTCAACAAGGACTGCCAGGCCTGTGATGGACTCAGTGAGCCCAGGGAGGAGATAGGATCCAGCCCTGAGGCAGAGGGAGGAAACAGGGCTTGGGAATGAAAGGAGTAACAGGACCTTGGGGTGGAGTGTGAACAAAGTTGTAGAAAAGTCCAGGGCATGTCATAGAGCTGAGGGAGCCTCTGCCCGTCACAGAGAGGGCTTGGAACAGTGCAAGAGTCTCTCTGTTCAAACAATGCCTTTGCCTGATCTCTTAAAAATTGGAGATTAGAACAAGACTAAGAACTGCCAATCTGGAACAGAACAGTGGTGCCTGCATTCAAGCACCCAGTTTCCAACAGAGTCCAAATTTGGCTGCTTTAGAGGAAAATCTTCGATAGCATCCCAGTTCCAGGAAGAGTGTGATACACTGAGTGCTCTCTCCCCTGGGGTGGCCACAGAGCTGCAGCAGGGCAGAAAGGCTATTTTTAAGTGTATCAGATGTCAGCTGAGCTCTTTGCACTTTCTTTTCTTGATCATACATCAAGTCTAATGAGAAGGAATACAGGCTGAGGGGAACAAATAAGCCCAGGTTAACGAAGAGATGTCCATCTAATACAATGCACACAGGGAAGAGGAGCAGCTGGCTCTGTGCCCAGCACTGCTACAAAGCCTCTGAAAGCTGAACAAGATCACTTTACTGACAGCACAGTGAAAGAGGAGGGTTGAGAGTGCTGTTTGTGATGATGGTTCTACATTATTAGACAGAGAATTGTTTTCAGCTGAAAAAAACCTGGATCCAAACCTGTTCATAGAAATTTCATTATGCCCTCTTCTAAGGACATGCTGTGCCTAAAAAAAATAAATAAACAACCTGAAGGGTTAACTTTTTCTCTCCAGACTTGGTATGAGAGAGCTAGAATACAGATTTAAGCACAAAGAAAAGTTGATAGCTGTTCCAATTAACGTTCCAGCTAGCATCTGCTCTTTTTAATTAGTTGAAGTTTGGTGTTGTCTGGAGACAGGACTGCTGAGTGGAGCTGCACTGGATTATTTTCTGCTTACACAGCTATTCTGGTCCCTCTTGGTCCTTGGAACTTCTTCTCCATTTCACAGAGTCCCTTGTGTGTGTGCTGATACTTGGGCTGTGCCCTCAGACTGTTTGGATGTTTCACTGCAACAGGCTCCAAACCTGTGCTCCCCACTGGAGGGGAAAATGACAGAGAAAGGTATTTTATACAGGGCCTCTCCCCTTCCCAGCCATGTGTTTGTACATTGCTCCACTTCTTGAAAACTCAATTTTCATCCGCAAAAAGGCATTGCCACGGAGCAGATGGGGAAGGCTTCCCCAGGACCTGCCAACCTTCCTGTTTTGCTGGAAGCTCGCTGATCCTTCACCTCACTCTTTGTAACATGACCTCTGGGGATCTGAGCGTTTCAGTTACACACAGATGAATAATTTACAAGTCATGGCTGTTGCAATAAACAAGTCCTTCTGCTCTGCCCAAACATTCGACATCTTGTCTTAAATTTCCCTCGATTTGCAAAAACCCCCAGGACTTAAGCAACATTCAAAAAACTTTGGAGGAGCAACTGATGAGGGAAGAGCAGGGTGGCATTTCACAGCAGCAAACAGCACTGGCAGCAAGCATTCCTCTTATCTCCCAGCAGGGCAGTGACCTGCTGTACAAACTCCAGGTAGGAAAGCCACTGGCAGAGCAACCCCAGATGTAATATTTACCTAAGAAGAGACATTTCAGTGGAAAACAACCTGCAGGATCTGCTGACATCTCAGTGGGGAGGAGAACAGCGGTCATTCACACCAGTGCAGGCAAAAAGAAGAGGAACAGGATCTGGAATTTCAAAGCATTTCTGAGTAATGAAGCTGCTGTTGCGTGAGGAGTGTGTTTGTGCTGTCCATGATTCCAGCTAAACAGACATAAAACGTGGATTTGGTGCTTGTCCCACAGGAGATCCCCTGCCCAGCATCAGCACAGTCTGTGTTTCTGTGTGCCCATTTTGAGTATTCCATACTCAAAATACAAATGCAAATAGGCAGATTCTGCAAGAAAACAACCAGGCTGGCATTAAACATTCCTGAGCCCCTGCAGCTGGTACCCAGGGATGCCTCATTCTCTGGCAAGGAGAAGTGGATCCCATGAGACACCCTGGCAATATGAGCCACAGTTTCCAGTTACAGATAATAGTTCCTGCACAAGCTTCTCTGGAGGAGAAGAAGATAGACTTCTCTATAGACAGATTGAAACTGCTCAGGAGCAAAGTGCACAACAGGGTTGTTTTTATCTTTAATCCATTCCACATGAGCAGAAAAAGCTTGGAGTTGTGAAGCATGTGCTTCCTTTTGCAGCTCAACCCATACTTTTGGTTTATTAATCCTTTCTGCTGTGCTCCATAAGCTCCTGTTGAAGAAAATTTGTGTGTAGGAGTTGCAGGATCAGCCCTTTTTTCCAGCTGCAGTTTCCCTATCTCCCAAAGTGACCAAAGCACAGGCTGTCACTGAAAGGGGCAATTCCATCTTTCCCCAGCCCTTGTGTCCCTCTTCCTCAAGCCATCACAGAGATCATGATAAAAAAGGATCTTTTCCTCAGGCAGGGTATTTTTCAGCTGGATCTGTTCCCGTGCAGTGACAGCAGCTGAAGTTTTGCCACAAAGCAAGAGCCAGGAAAAAGGCTGGAACTGTGCCTCAAGAGCTTAATGCAAAATCATGAAGTTTCAGTCTCAGGTTCCTGGGTCATTTGTCCGTGCAAATAATGTGGATTTATAGTCCAGTTTAAAAAAGTCTCCTTGGCTGCTGCTCTGTGCCTCTCTTTTGCACAGTGGGCCAAATGCAATCTCTAGTTCCCAAAAGAACTGAGCTCAGAGGGAAGTCTGGAACTAGTTACAGTTTTCATCTGGGGACCAGGTCTACGTGGTTATTCAGAACTGGCCTTGAAATTGCAACCATATTGTTTATTTATATCCTTACCAGAGCAAACCAGGGGGGTCACCCACTGAACCCAGGCTCAGCCTCCGCTGTCCAGAGAGACTTCACAAAATCTCCACTCTCAGAGATTTTCAAAAGAGCTGGTAAAGCCTTGAGCAGGCTGGTATGACTTGGAAGTTATCTCTGCTTTGAGCAGGGGTCCCTCTCCAACAGCCTCACCCTGAGATGCTCTCATTTTCCCCTGCATCTGCACAAGGCTGCAGATGCACAGCACCCCCAAGCAGTCCCACACTGCCTGAGCCACACACCAGGGAGCAAAACCAAACCAAAAAAGTCAGGGAGCAAAAACCAACCAATTCCCCACGGCCTTGGCTGTGTTAGCTGGGAGCCAGAGCAAAGCACACACCTTATCTGTGTGCAGATGTCTCAGCACACACCAGAATTAGCTTTGCATTGCAAAAGAAAGTGTCCCAGCCCTGGCCAGGATCCCAGGCTGCAGGCTGCAGAACATTTTCTCTTCAGCAGGAAGGAGCCTGCATCCTCAGCAAGAACAAGTGTGAAATACAAATCACTGAGCACCTGCTGCTCGTTGTCCAAGTCATCACACAGCACCCCAGTAGTGCAATGAAAGGAAGAATGACAGGGACTCAATTTCCATATGGCCCCTCAGAAACTTCAGCAATTTTGATCCATTAGGCTGAAACCTGAGCTCTTGAAAGAATTGTGCACATTCACTCTGGATGAGACGTGCCATGAACACCCTGGGGCTGGGGATCAGGACACAGGGTGGTTCTGCTCCATCAGCTTGTTTGCAAAGATGGGAACTGAACTCACAGATCTTCTTTCAGAGCCTTCCTCGGGGCCACTTCTCCTTCAGCCCAGAGGATGGAAGAAGGTTTCTTGGTGACGAGACCTGGAGACCTCATCTACAATGTGAAAGGCGCTCGGAGCAGCCGGAGTGGGAAACGTGGAAGGAGCCCAGCCCGGCGACACAAGGCTGCTGCCATCTCATGGCTGCTCTGGCCAAGGAAAGGTGACCGCGACATCTTTCCAGCTGGAAGATTCTCCTTTGAGATAAGAAAGATCCTTCCTGCAAGTAAGCTTCAGCTGGGAGGAGCAGGGGCAAGCAGCAGTGCCAGCATCCTTGGGTACACAGGGAGTTTCCCATAGTGATAAGACTGCAGAGGAAAATTTTTTTATGCAGGTACTGATTCCCCTTTCACCTTTCAACCATCCATTTCCCAATCATCCATTTCAAAATGTTTTGCCAACACTAATTAACCCCTCTGTGGAGGGGATCAGCATCCCTGTGTACCAACAGGGTGATGAGTGGAGAAGACAAGCAGCCCCTTCATGAGAAAATGATGGGTGCAAAGAAATCACAACATCCTGAAATCCCAATCCTAACAAAATCACAAATCCTCAAATCTCAGACATTCTGCTGGAAAGACAAGCACTGCCACTCTTACCATGCCAGCTGCCTGGCTTTCTCGGCTGGGCACCAAACATTCCATAATCCCAAAAGCTGGGTGCCCTGAAGCACCCTTGGCCTAAGGAGCTGCATGGTCAGCTGCACAGCCCGCTCCTCGCAGGCAGATTTTCCCATGATGTTGCACATGCTATTTATTCCATTCATTAACCAACTTAATGGTGGCTAAGAATAGACCCCAGATGTCCTTCTGGCCTTAAAAACTTCTCTGCCCTCAAGGAAATGCAAAGCTAAGTAGCTCATGGCATGTGAACCAATAATGAACCAAGATGTGAAGAGCTTGCACATTTCCAAGAATTCACAAAATACATCTCTGTTTTTAAATAATCTCTGTTCTGCTTTTGGGAAATAACTGGTTAGCAAGGATAGCTCAGAACAGAGTGATGGATGTACAAATGTTGAATTCATTGATAGAGAGATTGTGCCAGACAAAGCCAGAGCTGTTCAAATGTCTTCAGTTTCTGTTATCTATTTCTGTGATGTTTCCACTGCACAAGTTCACAATTCTGTAATAAACTGCTGTTTCTGAACAAAGACCATTTCATACTAAGCCTTTAGAAAATATGCATCTTTAGTACAATTTACTCCTGAATTTTAATTTTTAAAAATTTTTTTTGGTAATAGAAATTATTCTGTGATGTCATTTTTTATACATACTCCTCAATGCATTTGGAAAATATCCCAAAATATACTAAAGATAGCACTATGGTTTTCTGCATCACTGCTAGAAATCAAAGCATTCATGTGCAGAAAAAAATTCTTTCTGTACAAGCATTTTTCTTCTGTTGCCTGAATCCAGTCTCTTGATAATCAGCAATTACAGAAAAGAATTCTAACAATCAAATGGGAGTTTGCACTTACAGAAATTCAGGCTATTTATTGCATGAGTTATTCAGACAGAGAAAGCTGCTTGGAAATCTATCAGTAAATGAAAGAAACTGCTATTTCTGAAAACTGAAATTGTATTGACAGAGATTCTAAAGGGTCTAAAGAGGAACACGATCCATTTGGAACAAATTTGGTCTTCTCAGAAACGGGAAAGGTTAAATAAGGGGATTTAAGGATCTTTTCCTCTATGAAAACATAGAGGAAAAGATCCTTAAACATTGCTTTTTACCAACTAATATTTTGTCAAACCCTCTACAGAATTATATTATATTATATTATATTATATTATATTATATTATATTATATTATATTATATTATATTATATTATATTATATTATATTATATTATA